GGGCTGCGGGGCCCCGAGGTGCCGGCGTGGAGATGGGGGGAAGGGGCCGGGCCAGGCACCCTGTACCCCGGGCTGGGATGGGTGGGTTTGTGTGGGGGTCCTGGGTGTCCCTGCCCACGTCCCGTTGTCTGCCGGGGCTGTGACCCTGCACTCCTGAAGCTGCCCGCTCTGGGCACAGCAGGGTCCCCCGTGGTGTCCCCCGTGGTGTCCCCACGGGCTTTGTGGCCGGGTCTCCATCGTGCTCGTGGGGGCATCTTGTGTTCCCCAGAGCATCGGCCGCCCCCGTGAGTGGGGCCAGGAGGAAGCGGGGCCAGGGGGTGCTGCTGAGGGGGAACCCCATTCTGGTGTCTCCAGGCTGCTGGTGGGGCGGTGGGACGTGGCGGTGGACGCATGGCGGGGCATCCCCCTCGTGCCGTGGGGCTGCGTGCGGGGCGCTCCCCTCATCCAGTTCCTCTTGGCTTCTGCATTAAGGCTTTGGGGTTTTTTTTTAATCTCTGTTTCTTCCTGTCGCCGCCAGCGCAGGACGGGAAGCGCTGCCCGACGGGGCGGCCGCCGGCGTGTGTGCATGGCACGGCTGTGCCGGGGCGGAGGCGTGCGGTCCCACCGGCCCGCGTCCCCTCCGTCGCAGCCACATTCTTTCCAGCGCTGGTAAATGAGTCAAAGCAGACATTTGTCATGTTCGCTGCAGGAAGTTGGAGGAGCGCTGGGCTTTTGTTCAGAAACCTGCTGGCTAAGCAAAGCCTTTGCCTTTCTATTATTATTTAAACAGGCGCTGCTGATCTGCTCTGCACAGACACACACGCACACACACATATATGCACACACACATGCACACACACCTCCCGGCCTTTTTCTTATTCTTTTTTGTTTTTCTCCCCTTTCCCCCTCCTCTCTTGGGGGGGGGGGACGGACAGGTTGCAATAAAAGCAGGGCGGCCCTGGCTGCTCACTTTGGGGCCGGGATGGGGGGCTGCCGGCGCGTGCGGGGCCGGGGCGCGTGGGCGTGCAGAGTGCGGCCGTGCCGGCGGGAGGGTGCCCTCAGCACTGGGGGTGTGTGTGTGTGCATACTGCCATGCGTGCATGCGCGCATGCACATGCACAGCTGCTCATGCATGCTCCCTGCTTGCTGCGTGTGGCCATGCAGGGCTGGCATGTGCAGCAGCGCCCGCATCCTCCCATCAGCGTCCGGCTGCGCACACGCGTGTGCTCCTCCTGCCCCTTGCCCACGGCAGGACCCGGCCGGAGGTTCGGATGGGCCCTGCAGCATCCTGGGCTCTCCCTGTAAGGACACCCGTGCGGGGGGGGGCAGCGCGGGGCCGGGACGGAGCAGCCCCCGGGGTGGCAGAGGCTGCATGCCTGCCGTGGAGGGGACCGGGGCTGGGCCCCGCGGGGTGGCTGTGGCAGCGGTGCAGGAAGCGAGGGTGGGTGGGTGAGACCGTGCGGCGGGGAGGTTACCGGCGCGGCGGGGAAGTGGCACCGCCGGGGCCCGTCCTGCCAGCCCAGCCTGTGGCCACCGTCCTTGGTGTGGGTCCATCCCTGTTTGGGTGCGGGCAGTGGGGCTGAGCCGGCCGTGCCACGTGGGGTGATGCCCGTGTCTGCAGGCAGTGCCGTCATTGCTTGGGCAGCCCCGGGAGGGGCCCTGGGCTTGGGGTGTCACCTCCCGTGGGGACCTGTGAGCCTGGGCAGGGGAGGGGAGAGCGTGTGGTGCTCTGCCCCACATGGGCCACACGCAAACACACGTGTGTGCAGTGGGGGTGCGCGCACACACACACAGTGGGGACACGCACGCACACGCATGTGCAGGCGTATGTGTGCACACGCTCAGCTGCGCCTGTGGTTGGTG